ACGCATGCTTCAACTGATTAAGAAACTGATCCACGACATTCCCTGTTTGCAGGTTGTTGAAATTACCGTCGGTAAGGCACATTTGGTAGCAGCCCTGCGGATTGTAAGCGGACCAGAACATGATCCCCTGCACGGCCGGGTTGGAATGAAGCTCGTCTATAATCTTGCTTAGATACGTTGCCTGGTTGTACCCCTGCGCGACATCCAGCTCCGTGACCCAAATGGTCGCCCCCTGGGCCGCAAGCGTCTCTATCGAAGCCTTAATGTAGGCAAGGTTGGGCTCTTGGTGTGCGAAATGGCCCTCCAGCCCGATACCTAAACCGGTTACTCCACTGGCCTTCAAACCCTGTATCTTCTGCGCGTAATTAGCCGGTGAGGATGCATAGTCTCCGGGTTCCTCGATTGTGTTGAAGTCGTTCATGAAAAGGGTCACCTGCCCGTCTAACTTGCGCGCCTTCTGGTAGAAATTAGTCGAAGCAGAGGGTCCCAACTTGTCTTCATAGAAGTGGGAGTGCAGATTCTCGTTCATCACGTCCCAATGGATCACCTTCCCCTGGTATCGACTCATCACCGATTCAGTCCTCCGGTTAGCCGCCCTCCAAAGGGCCTCTCCAGAGAGCCCAAGGACCCAACTGGGTTGAGACTTGGGGTCGTCCCACAAAATGTTGTGGCCTCGCACAGAAATGCCGTGGTTCTGCGCAAACTGGAGCAAGGCGTCCGCCGCCGCGTAGTTCTCCACGCCCTGGGATTGCTCGGTGGAGTACCATTTCATCTCGTTTTCAAACACCGTGTGCGTGAATCTTGATGTGAACCAGTCTTGGTAGGCCTGGTTTCCAAGGATGTTTTGGTTGATGGCGCAGCCCACAGGGATGTTATTGTAGAGCTGGCTTATGCTCACTGTGGCGTTCTCCACCGGAAATCCCTCATTGTCCAATACCTCGAATTTCACAATCTTTTTCCGGCTTCTTTCCACGTTTTGTTGTTGGTGAGACTTCCACTCTTCACGGGTGAACGATTGCAACGAAATGCTATCCGCCCAAATCTCAACGTCTGTATTTTCGGACTCGAAATAGAGATGGGCCGAGCC